CTGAAGGTCTGAAATGGAAGAGCTCATCTATTTCAGAAAGTCTTAACAAATACAACATGTTTTAAGAAATTACAATAAAATGAGCTGTAGTTCATGAAAGCTTATGTTTTTTAATAAAATGTGTTAGTCTGAGAAGATGCTACCAAACTCCTTTTAATTTTGGGGTACCATAGACTAACGGTTCTTCTCCTACAAGACATGCAAGCAAAACTCTTCCCAGTCTCAGTTCCTCTAATATCAACAACTGAATATTTCCACAACTTACCAACTCTCTTGCTTCTTCCAGCTGCTTTTCCACATTTGAAACCAACTGCTTCTTCTCATCTAAAACAAAATAATAGATGCTTAGTTGAACAACATTTCTATTGTCAGAGTCATAGTTAATGTTGACCTGGCCAATTTTGCAAGAACTTGGAAGCTAATTGGATTGGGCTAAGTTAGTACTTAATGGGAGACCAACAGAAAATTGCACACTTGTAGACTAGACTAGGAAGTTGAAAGACATTCCAGAAGAAAGCAATGGCAAATCATTTCAATACTGTTGGTAAAAAAAATTGCATGGACACACTATTGCCAGAAAATTGCATAGACAAGTCCATGTAGTCACCAGAGAGTTGCAAGTTAGTTTAAGGACATAATAGGAGCATCTCTTCTGTGGGTACATAGTTCGTGTTTGGCACATGGTAACTGTTTGTTACCCATGCATTTGGCAAGGCAGTCTGTGATGGCACTGTTGCTCGAATTTTTAGCTTATCCTCTTATTTCTGAAGCACAGATTTATATGGTATGAAGTAAAACTCTAATCATAAAGGGAAATGGGAACAGAAAATAAGGCAATCTAAACTTCAGAATGATACTGAAAAGGGATCTAAAATGGTCAGAATGGTTTCCAGCCTCTAGGGAGGCACATGCGTTGTAATTTCAAAATCCTAAAAGTCTTCCACAAGAAACTTCTATCCTGTCCAGTTCAGTTACTGTACTACCTAAGATCAGACTGAATTGTAGGAATTTACATATGTTGTTTGGATGTTTACACCACTGAATTCAGCAAGGCTTTCTAAACAGGAATCCATGTAACTGTGCTATATGTAATGGCCATGTTTGCACAATCCACTTACACATGGTTAGCTTAATCACAGTTTATTCAGTTAACCCAATTTTGGGGAGAAGGTTGCATTTCTCTGTGAACTATAAACTAACCACATAAAATGAGATGTGCTAAACTTTGATTAGCTAGTCTGTGATTCAGTGAGCCATATAAAATGGCCAATGAGAGATTTTCTATAACAGCATATTCTCCTATCAGCAGCTAAAAAGCATAGTTAAGTAATAGTGATTATTTTTTAGAACTTGATACTGAAATACAAAATTAGCATAATAGTAGATGGGAATGACCTTGAGAGACAGGAGGGAGAGCTGCAGACTGGACAACCAGCATGCAAAAGGTATTTCAGCCCACAGAAGGAGGGAGAGTGTGGGAAATGCTTCAGAAGGGACCCTCCCTAGTTTTCCAGAGAATAAAAGGAAAGGAAGGGAGAAATGTTTTCACTCTTGCAAGATTCTGTTAGTATAACCTTACAATAAAGATAGAGTTAGTATTCCTGGTTGTGCTTCTTGTCTGGATTACGTTGCAGGGCTAACAATTAGAAACAAGGATCTGCAATCTTAGCTAAGGGCAAGGCAAACAACAAGGAGCTGTATCTGTACTGAGTCAAAGAAAAGGCTATCTCAGGAAGCCATCCCACTCATCTTGTGAGGAGGAGAGTAACCGTCCTTCTTGTGGGCATCCCATACGCCTCGACTGTGAAAAACAGAATCCTGGGGTAAATAGACAATTGGTCTGACCAGCACGGCTCTTCCTGCATTGCCATGCTAACTAAATGATCAAGGAACGAGAGGACCACAGTCGTGACAGGTGGGCAGCAGGCAGTGACATCAACTGGGGAGATGCAAAGGGCTGCCACTGTCGCCACCACCCTCCACCACCGCCATCACTCACCTCCTACCAACTTGGGGACTTTCCCGATTCGGTTCGTGATCTCAGCGGTAAGAACCGAAAAGTCTTGCTCGTAGCCCTCGAAATCAGAGGACATTATGGCAGCAGCAATAGGGAGAAAAGACTAGACCTGAGCCAAATTGCCCGCCGTAAAACGGAGGCGAACGACGAAATCCTCGCCTTTTTCCAGTCGCCGAAACACCAAACTCTCAACTCAGCCGCTCTCTCTCCTCCTGTCACAGCCAGACTTCCGGATTGAGTCCTGTGAACAATTTCTTCCCGGGTGCTCTATCTCTAGGGTTCCGCTATCCTATTTACCCCATCCTACAGACCCCCGCACCTTTTCCCAACTGGTGCTGTGTCGTCGCAGACATTTACCAGGTTCCTTTATGCTTAATTTATCTTTGGAGCAAGGGAAGGGATAGAAGAGACAGGGCGACCATGTGTCGGGATTTCGCTGCTAACTAAGAAAGTAAAAGAGTTCTGCGCCCCGTAGAAGGAGTCGGATTGAAATCACTTTTCGTGTGTGCCTGTCCATGGGGGAAGTGTTTCCCAGGGCACCTGCCAGGCTATTGAGGGCGTGCCGAAGTCAGGGCGGAACGGAAGGATTGCATGTCCGGGTTCTATGAAGGTGTCCCGGGGAAGTAGAGCACAGAGCTGCTGAAAGAGCGGCAAATAAGTCGGACTTCGGGGACTCCCTTGCTGGCTTTGTCTGAAGAAAAGACAGCGGGGGAAAGCTGGGACAAAGCAGTCCGGGGTCCGTCGCTGGTAAGCCGCGATGTCCTGCCTTGAATGCAGTCCACAGAGACATCGGATCTTTCCATTCGAAGTACAGGAATTGCAGATTTTCCTCCTCCTCCTCCTCCTCCTCCTCCTAAGCGTAGGAAGAGGGATGGGAGAGGCTGTGTCGAGATCAGCCTTTGCTTTCACTTTGCCTGCCGACTCTTCGCCGGTCTCCTATATGTACCATAGATGACTATGATGATTATTATTATTTTCGTTTCTGGTTTCTCTGTCCTTGAAATTTCGAGAGATAGGCAGATGTCCGGCAGCTGCCGTTTTTTCTCTACAAAGGAGCTGGCATAGCATCCGCTTCACCTGTTGAACTATTGCCTATTACACCGTCCTAGTACTTTGGCGTATGTATAGAAAGGGATAATTCAACAGAGGAAACAAAACCCGTGCTATCATTTGTATCGCGAGGCTCAAAGCACAGTTATGAGTAAATAAGCGGGGGAGGATTTCACTCCCTGGGATCCTTGTTGTTTTCATTAACTGCTTATTTAAGCGTTCCTGCACAAATTAACTTCATGGGTAATGTGGAGGAATCGCAAGGGGAGTGGTTTGCAAATCAAATCAAATCTTTATTAGTCACAGGCCATCATAGAGTGGTTTGCAGTCGCCTCATTTGGGATGAGTGCTGAAGTACAACTGACTGCAGCAGGATTGTTCAGGTACCCCCAGGGAGGTATAGCAAATAGTTATTTATCCCAGCAGTACTTGTGTCAGAGAGCCTGTAAGTTATATCCTGTTGTCCTTGGACTTACTTGAAATATCACTGTATTAATCAATCTGTAGGTGAAAGAGGCCGAAATAAGTATTTTGGATTCTTGCATTATTAATAATCAATAGTGAACTGCCAGGTTCTTCTCTCCTTTGTGGAAAACTGAAAAACGTTTGTAGTGGAAAGCTCTTCACGTTTTCAGATGCTTCATAGACACTTGATTACTTTATTGCAATATTTTCCAAGGGGGGAAAAATGCCTGAATGGACAAAAAGCAGCTACTTCTGCTAGTCCAGGCAATTTCCAACATGAAAAGCTAACTTCATCCCAGTATCACAAACATTTTTTGAAACTGTCTCCTACTGTGCCATATACTTTAAGAAAAAACATGTCTAAATTCTCACTTGCATTTGAAATTAGTTCTCAGGATATTGCCTAGAATGAGGGGCTAATGCTTCCCTGAAACGTATTTGAACTGAATGTGACATTTAAAAATATTTCTTAAGGATTTGCTTAATAAACCATGTTTGCCTGCACTAAACAAAATAATCAACCAGATGATCTGCAATGGACAGGAACACTTTGTCTTGTTTATATTTATCAGTTGTTCTGGCTTGTAACAAACTTGGTACCAGTTTTGTGGTTCAAGTATCAGCTGAAAAAGTTTTTGTAATAAATATATTATCAGGATCAGGGCTAGACATGGGACAGGAAGACAAAACGGGGAGTGGGGTGCTCTTTAGCCCATTTTTGTCCCAATAAACCATGGTCTGTTGCTCCAAGGTTACTGTGTCTCAACCAGGTCAATCTGTCTTTAATCAGAAGAGTTTGTTTAGTTGTTGCTGTTGTTGGAAATTTTCTTCCTGTATTTTTTTGCTCAGGTTTTAGAAGACAACTCATGTGAAGAGCTCCTGTAGCTAATGATTCTTTCAAATTTGAGGAATGGCTTAAATCCAGCTACTTGGAAATTAGTATTTGAACATCTAACCATTCAAGTAGAGATGAAAACTTATGACAAATGGAAATGTGTACCTGAAAGAAATTGCATAAAATAAGAATCAGCTTGAATGCAAAATGGGAATGTTCTGTTCAATTATTAGTTTTGAAAATCTCTATGAACTGAAAAGACTGTGCCACTGGGGACCTATCATAGCGCTTAGTGTAATAGCAATATGTTCTGCCATGGCTATCATCGATGCAGTCTTGTGGTATTGGCCTTTGGATACAACAGGAGGAAGTATTAATTTCATCATGCTCATCAATTGGACTATTATGATCCTTTATAACTACTTCAATGCTATGTTCGTTGGCCCTGGATATGTTCCTTTTGGATGGAAACCAGTAAGCAAATAACAATATGGTATATTTCCCCCTCCCCTCCTCAAAATCTCATTCCATATCTTCCTGATTCTATGTTAGACAAGGGATTGTGGAACCTAATTTTTGGATCTGCAGGATGAAGCCAAAATGGGAGCCAGCGGAAAATTAATCCATACATTTTGGTGGTGTTTTGCCAATTGTCAAGGCAGTGATCAGATGCCCAGGCAATTGGTCCTTTTAGTTCTCTTAGGTCCAGAGACAATGAACACACCAGTAGGTAAGGAGATTTTAAGCTTTATTGTTAACTCTAGCAGACAGATTTAAACAGGAATATAAGAATTAGCAAATAGAATTAAACATAAATACATAAGCATAGTATAAAAGCATAACATACCAAGCAAAATGATAAAACTCTTCCCCTACTGTTGGTGACAGTGGAGAGACCCCCAGGTGTCTTAGATAATACAGCGCCTAGTCCCAAGGCCTGTGTCCATGCTCCAAACTCCAGGGGGAATGTCAGGGCTTTTTATCAATGTCTGGCACTGCAATCCCATGACTCTGTTTTGGAGTCAGGGGCTGTGAGAGTGACCTTGACCAGATATTATACCTGCTCATCCAAGGATTCCAGAGCCTGGGAACTGTGTAGATAAGCTAGTGCTTAACCTAAACAATCCTGAGGGTTTTCGTCCCCCACACCCACTTCTAAGTAAAAGTGAAAAACAAGCAGCTGAACATTATTATGACTCAGAGTGAGCTTACTTAGCATGTGCAGGAGAAATCAAACTATGTCACCTAAACTCCTCAAAATAACAATGGCCTTGCTCATTGCCACTACAGGTAGATACTAGTTGAATATAAAATTGCCATTACATATCTAAAGCTAAATTTAGAAGTCATTTATAAAGAGCTGCTTACCAGGTACATCTCTTCACTGGATAGCACTAGCAACAGCTGCCAAATGGAGTTCTATATCCTAGGAAGATTTTCTTTAAAACAATCATGGTTTCTTTCTGAAAAAAAAAAGTTCAAGTGAGTAAGGCAACTTGCAGGTAAGATTCATTGAACAAAGTGGTACATATATGTACGATTATACTGTATCAGTGCCTACTACCCTTTATTTAAAATAAACAAGAAGTTTCAGGAAATAACATAAATAACAGCATTCCTGCTGCAGGAAGAAGCCTAATGCACAAGATAAATTCAGTGTTATTATCTCAAGAGAGCCAGTATATATTATTTTGTTTTTAGGAAAACTCTCAGGACTGCATGTACCTTCAATACTGCAAATTATGCCAGTCTTACAAGGCACCACGTTCACATCACTGCCGAAAATGTAACAGGTAACTATTGCTGATAAATATTAGCATGGGGTACAATTAATACCCCATGATAATCATATAATGGACTATCTGGATCCCTTCCAGTCAGGTTTCAGGCCCAGTTATGGAACAGAAACGGCATTGGTCGCACTTATGGATGATTTCTGCGGGAGCGGGATGGTGGAAGTGCAGCCATCCTTGCTCTCCTTGATCTCTTGGCAGCTTTCAATACCGTCGACCACGGTATCCTGTTGGGACGACTCAGGGAATTGGGGGTGGGTGGCACGGTCTTGTGCTGGTTCAC